ATAACATTCATTATCAAGGAATCATTCATCGAGATTTTCATAGTGGAAATATTCTTTGTGATGATGAATATGATGTAGTCATTAGTGATTTAGGAATTAGTAAATTGTCAACCGAAACATCGGTTAACGAAAATGACTATTATGGGATTATTCCATATATTGCTCCAGAGATATTTCAAGGGCAAAAAAGCAATAAATATACAAAAGCCTCAGATATTTATAGCTTTGGAATGATTATGTGGGAAATAATGAACGGTAGAAGGCAGATCTTATTATTAAAATTTGTGATGGCGTTCGTCCTCCTATTATTACAAATGCACCTGAAGGATATATCGAATTAATGCAAAAATGTTGGCATTCTGATCTAAATAAAAGACCTACAACTGAGGCTATTCTTGAATTTGTTGATAAAATCATTTTGAATGAAAAAAGAATCAAATTAAAATTATTAATTCTTCAGATATTGGACCTACGAATAAAATATTAAAAACATCTGCGCAATCTACAAGGAATTCAAAAAGCCGAAGTATTTTTGGTAAAAAGACTTATTTAATAATAATAGTTACATTTATTTATAATTCTTATACGATTACTTGATATATTACTAATCTCGTTTATTAAAGGCAAAAGAAAATTTGAAGAAAATCAAATTGAGGATAATGATAATTGTATATGAAAAGTTTATTTTTAAATGTTCTGATAATAATAAATAAATATACTTAATTTTTTTTTTCTCTGTTAATCTAGGTAAAAATATTAAAAAAGCTAAATTCACTGAGAATAATCGCAATGAATCTAATAATAATAGTAAGTAATGAATATTTATAATGAAAATAATGTACTAATCACAATTGAAACATAATTAATAATTTATAATAATACATAGACTATATTTCTAAAGAATATGAATTTGATTTATAATTTATTATTGAAATTAAAAATTTAATTATGTGTTATATATATTTATGTAAGTTCTTTTTGATATCGCAAATAAAAGATTTGGATATAATATTTTTTATTATAATATTGATTTAATTAATGATATTAAATATTTACTTTCTAAACCATATTTCCATTCAGATTTTGATCCGATTAACTTTGTCAGCAACCAGCAAAAAAGTTCGGCAATGTAATATCTCCATGTTTCATTTGGGAAAGTTTATTATTAGGGGGTGAAAATTATTGTCACATGTTTCCTATAAATAAAACGTAATATGCTATTCTAAACGAATCTAAATATTTGTTACAAAATATATGAAATTAGAATATAGTACTGGTAATGTTAAGTGAGTTTAATGAAAAAATTCTTTAAAATAAAAAAATTTATTACAAATTAATTATATAATCATTAAAATTAAATTTGTAAAAACTAACTCATTTACATAATCATAAACTTTATGACACGATATATAGTATTAATAGTATTAATATTTTATTAATAATTATTGACAAATTTTACTTTTGATTTTATCGAATGTCAATAATTTATTCCTTAATTTGTGGATTTTACAGCTTTGGGCAATATTGGAAGTTTCAGAGCCTCAGAAACTAGAATCATCAGGTAAAACCTTTCAGTACTGACTTTGGACGAAGGTTTAATTCAGCCCGAAACATTACATTAAATTACCATAGAAAGGTAAATAGTTAGAGATTGACAAATTCAAAGATAAACTTATTAATTTGAAGAAACTATACATTTGTGACGAATATTATTGCATTAATAATCCATTTGGTCGTGCATTTATATTATCGCTACATTTGATCGGGATTCCATAATTGCTTAACCATTTACGTCTAATTAAACTGCAAATATGCTAATTTCGTTATTCGTGGCAACACAACCCTCCGCACACGTTGCACGCATTCAGAAATTATCAAAACGGATAGATAATACGGTTTTTTTGGTAAAGGGTATAAGAACTGTAAAAAGGATTCAAATAATAAGAACATGAAATATTTTATTATTTGTATTAACATAGTGTAGAGTTTTGATGATAACTAACTAACAAATGAATTAAACTAATATTTAATATTTAAATCGTCGCGTAAATCTTTCTTTATTACTGTACAAGAACAGGCTAACATGCAAATTTCTTGTTTGAATAATGTGTCTACATTTTTAATTCTATTCTACGAAAAAGAATACACGTGACTGAAAACCACGACTAGGGATTGAAATCGATTCAAGAATATCGATTTTAGAATCGATTAATCGCGATTAATCTTTTCCCGAGTTTTCGATTCTAAGATTCGAACCGATTCTCGATTTAAAGGCGGAATAAGCAAAAAAATTTTGTATAACCAAAAATAAATCATATGTCAAGGGGTCTTTTGATTATTTTAGTTTTGGGTGAGACGAAACAATCGAATTATTTCTTTTCCTTTCCAAAAAAAAATTCTTGTACCTTTTCTATTCTCTTCGGATGGATTCTTTAAAATGTTATTTCATTAAATTTTTTTTTAGTTCTTTCGGGTGTCGCATGAACCTGGACGTATTCAAGATAATCAGATGAAGCATTCAAGTTCGAGTATGAATACGTCTACAGGTGAGAAATATTTTTGGTGTTTATTACTGCTTCCTCGACTAATTCCTCAAATATTTACTTATCTCTCAAAATTTACGATTGAGGATGGTCACGGAACCGAGACATTTACTCCCTCGATAATGTGCAAGAATGTGAAGATTTAGAAGTAATAGTAGGGAGAGCTAGTGATCAACTTTGAATCTAAGAAGTGTATTATAGAAGAAAACTTTAAGAAAAAAAAAGAACTTGTATATTAGTCCGCCATCATTAGCAAAGAAATTTCGCCATTTATCTTGTTATGTTCCCGAACTTTGCATTTATTCAATGTATTGCGAATAAATAAAAGATCTTTCATTGATTACTTTTCGCAATTGGCAAATGAGCAGTTCATTTATTATGCAAGATAATTTTGAGGATTAATAATCTATAAATTATTGGATTATTGGATTGACAATGAAATTCCAGAGACATTCACGTCACAGCGGTCCCTAAGTTTACAAACTCGGGATACTTTACAAAGAATATACAGGTGTAGAGGATGTGGGCATTTTGTGATAATTTATCAACCATGGATATCGTGTCTTTGACGCGCTTCAGAAACTCAAATAGATGCTACACAAGTTTTCCAACTCGAATATAATTATCTGCGAAACCAAAACATCTTTAAATTCTCAGTGATGGAAATATTCCTTAACTTAATCCATGTAAATTATGCAATAGAGATAGGTATCTTAACATTTCAATTTTCGGAATTCACTATATTGACATGTGAACATATTTTCCACATGATGTACCTGTAATCCTTTCTGGAGTTGGGTAACCAGTTTTTTCTGGTCGAAGCATTTTGACTGGACCGGTACCTTATCCAGAAACAGTAGAACTTTTGCAACTGTTACCAAAGAACATTTTGGTTCATATATATGGTATGAAGAGTGAATAGAAGTGGTCTTAAAACAGAATGTGCCAGCGTAAGCTGCGTTTGCGAGAGGAAAAGGTGTGTACGTGTTCGAAGCAATTAAATGCTGTCATTCGTTATGGTGAAAAGTTGGGAAATTTAAAAATTAAAATAAAAAAATAATTAAAAAAATATATTTCGCACTTATTTCCGAAGTAAGCTTAAAAAGTCAAATAAATCAATTATACCTATGCAAATTGAAATTTTTCAACCCGAAAAATGTCGATAAAAAAACCGTCTTATAAAAAAATATATTGAAATAAAGTTCTTTATTTGATAACAATTTTTTATCTTTTTTATTATCAATCTAGTCTAGTGTTGTTCTTTCATTTTTGTATTTATAAACAATTTTATTATAAACAATTTTAAATGTACGCAGTAGGTTTTTTTATTGAGTAAATTGAAGTAATGTTGATGCTAAATTTATTAAATAATTTTAAATTAATCAGTATTGCCTCAATGTCGGCGCTCTTCGCAATGTCAATATATTAAACTAAATAAATGCCAATCAATAAACTCTAATTCATTAAAACTACGCATTTGCAATTACAAAAAATTGAATAATAAAATAATAAGAAAATCTTGAATTAAAAAGATAAACGAAGTTACGAAAGTGAAAATATCGCGAAGGGATTAAAGGAAGGTTTTTAAGGTGAGGTGTCTGTATGTAAATACAAGGGCGAGCGTGGGATGTTAAGTTATTTATGGATTTCCTTCTCGTATTTATAAAAAAAAAGAAATTATGTTGTCAAAACAATTTTTTTCCAAATTAAGTCAAAATTATATTGAAATTTTAGAAGATAATGAATATTATGATATTACAATTGAAATTGGGAAAGACCCGGACGTGAAAATATTTCGTGCGCACATGATTATTTTGTGTTACCATTCTCCATTTTTTCGACGAAATTTGGACTCCAATAAGAAGAATGATGGCGTTTTAAATCACATCAAGTTGCCGAATATTTCACCAGAAATCTTTCCAATTATTTTAAAGTGAGATTATTAAATTATTTTCTTTGCATATTAAAAAATAATTTAAATATTAAAAATAATTCTTTTTTTTTATTTTTATTTTTTTTTATTTTTTTTGATAATAAGATATATTTATGGAGGAATCATTTCATTAAATTAACTATGTACTTCAGATGCATTAAAGATATTAACTGCTGCTGAAGAACTTCGTCTTCTAGAACTAGTTGAATATATACAAGAATACCTAGTTGAAAATAAAGCAGAATTGATGAAACAACATTTTGAGCTTATTAATAGAATAAGTTTTCAATCCATTCGTTTTTGAAACTTCAACAATGTTGCACGGATTTTATTACCAAGTCCCCTGAAAAGATATTTAAATCGTTAGATTTCCTGAAAAATTATTAATTTCACTTATAAAGAGAAATGAATTACAGATGGAAGAAGTTGATGTTTGGGAATATGTAAAAAGATGGGGCCTTGATAAAAATCCGACACTTATTCCAGATCCTATAACTTGGATGGATGATGATTTCATGATGATGAAAAATAATTTACAACATTGTTTACCCTTAATTAGATATTTTAGTTTATCTTCTGATGAATTCATCCAAAAGGTTCATCCATACAAAAAGCTTTTAGAACATCAACTTTATGATGAATTGATAAATTCTTATTTGAATTCCAACAGCGATCCAAGCAATAATATTTTACTCCCTAGGTGTAGAAATATCGATGGAATTATTTATACTACTATTGTTAATTTAAAATATTGTTTCTATATTTTCAAAATGGATTGATATCCAATATTAAGCCATGTAAGGAATGCAGATAATGCATTGCGTTATGGATTTTTCTATGGTCCCTCATTTAGTTGTGATCTTTATTTAACAGGCATCGTTTATAGAAAGGTTTATTGCAATCAGAGAGAATATGAAAAAAGTATAAGAGATACAGAATGTTCCTTAATAGAAGATTATGAAGTGTTTCAAATTGTTGAGAATTAGATTTAATTTCAAATCGATAAACTTATAATAAAATTATTGTTATTTCGAATTAGTGATAACAGTTGTTTGTAGGTTATAAACATAATCGTATCAGTAATATATAATAATTGCAGGGTTTACAAAGCTGCTATAATATATATATAAACCACACTACCATTATTTTTATACTTCCAATTCTATTTTCATTTCCATTTTTAAACGCAAAAATCCCATGGATAGTCTCATAGTTTAATAAAACTTTGGAATGTAAAAGTTCTCGAAATGCTTTTTACATAATTGATTTGGTCACAGAAAATAATAATAAAATTCAAAACCATAGTGTATATAGTATATTAATTTATTGTACAATACAAATGAAGTTACTGAAATACAAACAAAGATTAAAACTTATTTAAAATATGAACTTATAAATTGAATAAATCAAATAAGAGTTATAAAAATATTGTTTTAAAATTTGCTACTTAATATACATATTAAGCTATTCGATGTATGTATGCGTACACGATAATATGAAAATCTTTAGCTTTATAGATTAAAGAAGTCATCCATTTATTCATTTCACAATGACGAGTTTAAGATATAATTTAATTACTTAGAATGGCGGATGGCGTCCGCATGCTATACTAAAATAAATAAATGAATTCTATAGATGCAAACGCTTAGCAAACAAATGTATCATCATTTGTATTTTACAAAGGTAGCTATTTTTTTTTTTTAAAAAAAAAAAATGAGTAAATAGATAGTAAAATATGCAATTTAGATAAAACAATTCAATTATTCACTTTTATTATATCCATCATGACATCAAAAGCTCCATCAGCATTAGAATTTCCATTCTATTTTAATTAACACTGATTGATCAATTGATGTTCTTAATACATCTTGCAGTTTCTTCGTTTAATATAATTGATCGCATTTGCCTCCATTATAAAATATCGCTTTCCTCTTAACGAACTAATACATACAGTATATGATATGATAAAAGAAAGTAAAGAAAGTGATCTTTGCTATATACGATTTGCTCATCTCGTAAAACAAAAAATAATAAATTTTTAAATTCAAAAATAGTATTTTAATATCAAAAGGTTTCGATGGGTTTTGCCATCCGTCGAAACTTTTGCCACCCGTCGAAACTTTCGCAATTTTGCCTTTAATAAAAATATTTGGCAAAACGTTTCGACGGGCTTCGATTTCGATGCCTGTCGAAACCTCCGGGTTTTGCCCGGAAACCTTACAAAGTTCCAAAAACAAAAATTAAGAAACTGTTCGTTCTAACTAAAATATTTTAGAAAATAAAATCTCAAAATTCTTTTTTTTTATCGTGTAAGCAAAAAAAATTTGGCATAAACCTTTTTGAACCTTTTTTTAAAAAAAAATAAAGCTCTCTTCTGTGTTGAGTCATGCACCATTAGATATCCATTTCTAAAGGCTTAAATCGGTTCCTTTAATTTTTTATACGGCATTTTCTTATAATCACAGCTCATGGAATTTGTTAAAAGTTAATTCATCTCTACTCCCTCGTAATATCAATTCGAATTTTTAAAGGCAAGTATAAGTTTTTCTATCAGAAAATTTTCTTTCGTATATTACGTCATCAATCATTTGGAAGTTAAATTACCGTGACCACTTAATAAAATGAATCCTGTAAATGTCTTGAAACGTCTTTATTAATTAATAAAACCAACGTAAAAATTGTAAAATCACATGTAATATTTTATTTTAAAATAATATAGTCATTATCTAAAAAAATCTTCAACAGAAGGAAAACTAATAAGATCTTAGTAGTTAAGAATAAAATATTAGAAATTATTTTTGAAAAAGAGACAAAAATTTTGAGTGATATTGAATACCTGCTGATGTCTTGCCTCGGAGGTAATGAACAAGGGCGTTAGCTGAAAAATTCTGTCCCCATAATACTTAGTAAAAATGAAACGCGGAGGGAAGTGACACTGGTGACAAATTATATCACGTGAAATTTCGTAACGTTTTTGATGAGTGCCATCAATCCGGTAAATCTGAGATTCTAGTCATGGTTACAGAAAATTTTTATTGGAATTCTAAGCCGGGTGAAAAAAATATTTGTATTTTTTATTTTTTCTCCTTAAAAAAAAAAAATCAGACTTAAGGACTTTAAAGAAGAAATTACTAACAGGAGGATTATGAATCTTGAATAAAAAATTTCTCCAAATTTAGAATCGGATACAATGATGTAAATGATATCAATCCGACTGTAATACATTATACAGTAAATAACAACGGTAACGGCGCATGAAGAATTTTTTTTTCGGTTAGTGGCTATGCATATACAAAAAAGACGACTTCAGAGTTTACAAACTAACCAGTTTTTCGTACAGATTTCTGAGGAACTTTGTATAATCACAAAATGCAAAATAACATAAATTTCGGCGGGACTTTACTAAGGTTAATGTTCGACACTTTAAAATGTTCTTTATTTTTAAATATGATTATTTGACACGTAATACATCCACCAGGTGCATATGATTAACAAAACCAGGAGATATCATTGAATATTTTAATTTCTTTAATAACACCCAACTTTATAAACTCTTCAATTACTTTGACGTTACTTTCCTCCATTGTAATTTCACTTTCTAATTTCGAATTAATAGTCAAAGAAAGTGGAATACATGGCACACGATTCGCCCAGCATTTAAAGATAGGCTCGAATCCCCATTGAAATGCTATAACTTGATCTACGCAAGATCCCATATCTACCTTTAACTCATGAAACTTTTTAGGTGAAAATTCTACAATCATCTCTAGTAATATAAAGTCTTGACAACCTCTACAATTAACACTAGACAAAATATCCATGCTTTCTAATTGTTCACAACCATTTAAAATTAATTTTAGTGAATCCAAGGTTTTATATGAATATGTAAATCGTAACGACGTCAGATTTGTACAAAAATTGGATATAGCTAAATTTAATGAATTATCAAAAAATTTTTTTTTGCCAAGGTCAAGTTTTTTTAAATTCTTTCCATTGTTTTCTAAGAAATTGATCAGGTATACAACAGCTGCACATTTAATTTCAAAAGTTAAAATTTGCAATTTTGGAAGAGTAGCATATTGAAGAATTTCAAAATCTTTTAATCCATTGGTTTTCAAAAATGATAATGAAAGTTCTTGTAAATTTGAGAGCTTAGAAATAAATGACAGTTGCATGTGACAAGGCCTTCCAAAAATATGTAATTTGTTTAATGTGTTTGGAATGTTTGCTAATAGTTGACTTTCATCATCTAATTTACAGTCACAATAATCCAAGTCAGATCCATCTAAATTACTTTCACAATAATCCAAGTCAGATTCATCTGAATAACCTTCACAATAATTCAAGTCCAAGTACTTTAAATCTTTTTGAACAGAAATTAATTCTGTTAATCCTTTTGAGATGAAACTTTTAAAATTTATTTTTAGTGATTGTAAATTATGACAAATTCGAGATATCTGATAAAAAAATTCAGGATAGATATTTGAACTACATGAAAATTCAGAAAGTTTACTTAAACAATCCTTTCCTCCAGGATAAGCGGTAAATGGAATATTAGGTATGTCGTCGTTTGATTTAAATTCAAAATGTAAAATTTTCAAAGAGGTTTGATTCATAAGCATTTTAAATATTTCCTGTGTTGTAACCAGAATTTGATTATTATCAAGTATTTTTGGAGTAAATCTTGTAATTGCACTATTAATTTCATTGATATCAAGCCTTTTGATAAAAGCTATATAATTAAACAATGGAGGTCTTGAAGTTGAAATTATGATCCCATTCTTATATAAAATTGCTTTGGATTTCTTTGGAAGACAAGTGATTAAAGTTTCAAAATTTTGCATGTTTCTCCATAAAATTCGAACAGAGACTTCACACCAAAGTCGGTTCACTAACATGTATAAACGTATATCATTTTCTTCCAAATATTCAAAAATTCCATTAAGACAATCAGCAGGGAGGTACAAAGTCATTTTTTTTTTTTTTTTTTAAAAAAAATAATAATGAAACAATATATAACAACAATACCTGCCGATCTTTTTTCGCCGATCTTTTGGAAATAGCCGGAAAATATACACAAATAATTGTTATAGACTTTTGAATCAAATGATATTTAAATATTATTAGTACTGCGTTAGTGTAACGAATTATTAACTGGCTATGAAGGATTTGTAAAGCTCAATATCCTGCAACTAAGAATTGGAATTAATCGAAATTCGAAAAATCGTTTTTTGTTTAGTGGTGCAAGTGCGGCTATTTTTTTTTTTAAGAAGACTCGAGGCATAGGAATTAAAATAATCCTTGCATCAATATTGGAACATACCTAATAAATGTTGCCTATTAAAACAAATATATTTTAAAAAAAAAAAATATTAATAATAAGTATTTTATATATTTATTAAATAAACAGCAATATTTTGCAACAAGAGAAGAATGTACCTGATGTTGCTAATTTGCTAATATGTGGTAAGGGCTTTTATTTTTAACATTATTTTTATTTTATTGATTTTATCTTTCAATGCATAACTTTTATTTAAATTTTTTTTTTTTTTGAATTTATCTTTTAGGGGGCACAGTGACTGAATGATTTCTTATATTTTTTTTTCGTTCTTCAGGTTCCTTTTTCGGGTTGGTTTGCTTCCGAAAAGTTTCAGACAGCGTGGTGTGAGTGGATATTGCTTCAGGCCTCACTAGATGTAATTAGTCTCCTAAGAAGACGCAATAAATTCTGTGTAAATATTTCGATCCCAATTCCAATATACATTTTCATTTTTACACGAAGTATATTGATAGAACTGATATTTAAATTTTAATTTGTCACAAAGAAAATTATTAAAGGTTCCCGTCCGAAATTAAATGCAATTTTTTATTTTTATTTTTCTTAAATCGGGGGGTGATTTACATAATTCTAAGTTGCGCGAATTTCAAAGTTGGTAGTACATATTTGGTAAGACAAGAAACGGTTTGATCCTTTTATTTTATCCGAGCAAATTAGACTAATTATGGAAATATTTCAGTTGGAAAAAATTTAAACCGAGGGCTGAGGTATGCAATTGAAATAGCTTCCTGAACAATTTAGTCAAAAAATATAAAATAATGGTTTTATTCACAATTCAAATATTTAGAAGAAAAAGTTAGAGAGCGAGATGCAGAAACAAAGCCAATATCAATAATTTAGAAGAAAAGGTTAGAGAAGAAGCAAAGGCCAAGCGAGAAATTATTAATAATTTAAATGAAAAGATTAGAGAACGTGAAGAAAAGCAAGAAATTATTAATAAATTAGAAAAGAGAAACAGAAATCTTGAATTAATTATTTATGATGATACCATTAATTTAACTATTACAGATGCTAATAAGGATGATATATTGAGCGGATTGCAAAGATATCGAAAATTGACAAAGCTCAATTGTAAAAATTCTCAAATAACAAGCTTACCTACATTACCTAACTCCTTAACTTATCTCGATTGCTCTGTAACTCAAATAACAAGCTTACCAACATTACCTGACTCCTTAACGAAACTCGGTTGCTATAATAATAAAATAACAAGCTTACCAACATTACTTGACTCCTTAACGGAACTCGACTGCTCAAAAACTCAAATCATAAGCTTGCCAACATTACCAAACTCCTTAAAGGATCTTCGTTGCTATAATACTAAAATAACAAGCTTATCAACATTACCTAACTCTTTAACGGAACTGTATTGTAATGAAACTGAAATAACAAGCTTACCAACATTACCTGACTCCTTAACGGAATTCGACTGCTCAAAAACTCAAATCATAAGCTTACCAACATTACCAAACTCCTTAAAGGATCTCCGTTGCTATAATACTAAAATAACTAACTTACCAACATTACCTAACTCCTTAAAGGAACTCCGTTGCTATAGAACTCAAATAACAAGCTTACCAACATTACCTAATTCCTTAACGAAACTCTATTGCAACCATACTCCCATAACAAGCTTACCAACATTACCTAATTTCTTAAACGTACTCTATTGCTCCAACACTCAAATTACAAGCTTACCAACATTACCAAACTCCTTAACGAAACTCAATTGCCGATATACTCCGATAACTAGCTTACCAAATAAACCCGATTCCTTAAAGAGAATCTTCCCTGGATATTTATTAAATCAATAATCAAACAACTATCCTACCAACTTCTAACACCTTGATAAAATTTAACTAAAAATTATTACTTTTTCAACTTATGATCAATTTATCTTTATTGTTCAAGCATTTATTTATTCATTATACAAGCATTTCTTTTATCAATAAAATATTTTTTTTTCTTGATTAATACTGAATTTATTAAATAAAGTTTTAAATAATAAATAGGTTGTCGATTATATTGTAAAATCAAAAAAAAATTCAAAATTAATTTTCATATTCAGTTATTGAATTGAGAAAATGATATTTCATATTTTATGGACAGGATATTGTACAGTATTGTATTTACATTGGTAGAGTCACTTTGTGATGTTAACTAATATAAATATAATAGTGTATATTATCGTATGGTTAATGCAGATCATACACTATAAAGTTTATTAAAGGTTATTTAGTGATAAACAATAACTTTCTCTTTTGTATTTTTTATATTTATAAATCAAATTTTCTTTATTATTATTTTTAATGTCATAATAAAAACACTTAAGTTATAGAATTATTTTACAAAATTTAAATAATTTATATATAATAATTTTAAGATTTTTGAAATATAAATAAAAAGAATATTTGGAAAAAAATATTAATTTCTTTTGTGAAATAGGAATATTCTACTAATAACTAAATATATCATTTCATACTAATAATAATTATAAGAGAAAACTAAAAGAAATATGTAATATAAAAGTATTAGATTTTCAATTAGCACATATTTAATAGTAATGAAATAACAAAACGACAAAGAATTTAATTAAAGCAAATGTTTTAGCAATTTATTACCATTTAAAACAAATTTTATTTTATTAAATTAAATTTGTATGATAATAAGATATTTAAGAGATTCTTACAGGTTAATATAAGAAAATTAAATATTTAACAGATTTAGAATATGGTAAAAAAATAAAACTAATGAATTGATTAATAAAAAAAGTTCAAAAGGTTTAATACCATTATTTAATGAATGAATTTACATCATAATTATTACTATTATCAAAATTAAAAAATCAGACATTTGATAAATCAGCTTAAAAACAACAAATTATCAAAAATTGGTCCAGTCAATTGATATATATATAGAATCTAACTTATTTTATTTATAGCTAATTAACATCTAATTTCAACTAGAAAATTATTAACTTTATACATAACAGAATACTAATAGATTAGCAAAATATATATAAGTTTGAAAAAATTAAATACAAATATTTAATGAACTTCTAAAAACTTAAAAAGGTATATAAATTTTAAAGTTATTAAAAAAAGCAGCAAAATATATTGTTAAACACTATTCAAATTCTTTCTTAATAAATATTAAACTTATAATTGATATTATTCGCCTTTTTCATTTAATATACTTAAGTCTAGTTTTAAGAATTGGTTTTATTATAAGTACTAAGTTTAATCATATACAATAAAATAAATTATTGCATTTAATTTATTTAAGCAATTAAGTAATACCTAAATATTTAAATATTATAATAACTGATTACAAAAGATAATTTATTAATAACTTTTCAGTCTTTGCTATAAGACTATATTATTTTAATTAAACGTAATATATTTATATATTTAAGACATATTTTTTAAAACAAATTGTTTTCAAAACCTGTTGATTTAATAATCTCATAAAAAGTATTATTGGTCGAAATGAAAAAAATCAGAAATGCAAAAAATCGGCCTAAATTCAGCCTAAATTTAACAAATTATCAAAAAATTGGCCTAGCCGATTAGTATACACTAGAAATTAGCCAAGAATCAGCTAAAATTTGACCTAACTTATTAATAGCTGATTGGCATACTTATTGCTAATTGGCATACATCAAAAATCGGCTAAAATTTGATCTATTTATTTATAGCCAATTGACATCTGATTTACTTCTAATTGATATACATCAAAAATCAGCTAAAATTAAATTTATCTTATTTATAGCCGATTGGCATACTTATTGCCGATTAGCATATGTCAAAAATCAGCTAAAATTTGACCTATCTTATTTATAGCCGATTGATGTCAAATTTACATCTGATTGATATACATCAAAAATAGACTAAAATATTTCAAAGTAAAATAAAATTTAGAAGGAAATATAACTGATATTTAGGATTAATAGCTAAATAATGCTAAAACATTCAATTTATTTTTACAAATGATATTTTCTATTAATTGGATTAACAGCTAAATATTCTTTTGCATTTCGCTAGGCTGAAATTCGATAGTTAATTAGTATAAATCTGCCTAAAATATGATGAACTGGTATTATACAATCATGACTTTCTAGATAAAATTTGTATTCCATAATTTGACATTACAGGTTTCTTCTTCACTAAAATAATACTGTATATTTGGATCAAATGGCTTTCTAATATCAAACGTGGTATAAGTTGCATTGTAGTATTCAATTATCAAATCAAGCATTTCGCTTAAAATAATTATATTATCAGATAATGGTTTAAGGAATTCACTGGAAAATGGTTCACTACTAGTAATATTTAATTCCTTAATATTTTGTAAATTCATTCAAAATTGGTAGATTTCGTCAAAAGAAAATATGTTATTACGATAGTTTCGTGGCTTCAAATAAATTCTCAAAAAAATAAATAAAACTAAGACTATTACTCAAGGAATCACGGGTGAGGATTCACAATAACGTCGAAGAGTTATTCT